TTTGCTATGATTTATGTAAGAAACATTCAAATGATTGGCTACTTTGTTTTAATAGGTACAGTACTGAATGCAAACTGTTAGATCTGTCTTGTATTTATATAGAATAGAAAATTGCTCACTCAGGCTTAGTCTTATCTACATCAAATAAAAATACCTTTGATAACCCATGTGGGTATTGATGTCTGGTATTTGCAAATAATTTTAAAATATAAGGAAGGTAGAAATGAGATGTGAAAAGTTTAAACTTTAACGGGTGTTGGGCCTAGTGAACATGTATCAACTGTAGCATTGTTTAAAAAGTGGCAAAGTAATTCATAGGAAAGAAAAATAGCTTCTTAAATCAAGTAGTAAATTAACTAATTCTTGGTTACTGTAGACTTTTAATTGTGACCTTCCTGTTCTTGCAGTCCACTCTTTGCCATCCTTAGGCTATACATAAGATATAAGGCTTAAATTGACTTTTTAGGAGCTTTTACAAATTCATAATGCAAATTTCTTCTTTAAAATATTATATGCAGATCTGTCCTGCAAGATTTGTTTCTTTCGTTCAGGAAAGGGGAATATGCTGTAGGAGAAACAGTTCTGTGTTCTGTTTTGGCATAGGGATTAATTTTATAACACAGCAACTAAAATCTGTTTTGAAAGAAAAGGAAGTGATAGCAAAATTATTTAGAATTTGTTTATTGAGCAACCACCTTACTCAAGTACTCTGTCAGATTCTGCAAACATGCTTCTGAAATGATACCATTTCTCAGAGCACTCTTGGCAAATTCCTAAATCTGTTATAATTCATGTTCCAGGGGTATTTAAAAGTCAAGACAAAGCAGTCTAAAGGCATGTGTGAAATGTCTGAGAATGTTATCAGGCAATGTTCTTACATTTTCCTCAATTTTTTCATATTTTGTTCATTTCACTGTAATAAAAATATAGATAAAAATCTGTATAAAGCTTCTTTGATTTTACTAGTATTGTTGTTGTTGTTATTATTATTAAAAGGTTTAATTTACCTTTATTCTATTTTGACCTCTTTTTCTACCCTTTTAGGTGTTGACTTAGTCACCTGATGGAGCTGGTCCTTTCTGATGTCCAGTGCCTTTCAAGTAGTGCAGCAGGATGCCCTATAACCCACTCCATCCAGTCCTACCAGGTAGACTTCAGATTGCTCCCACTGCAAGCTATTAAGGTCAGTTGTCCAAAGATTAACTGGTTCCAAGCAAGACTGGATTTTGAATTTCCCAGAGTACAGCAGCCAGCTCAGAAGCAGGGGAAGGTCAAAGTGACCCATTTACAATCAGTAGGTTTGGTGTAGACTGGTACTTGAGTGGAAACATGACACTCCGTGACTGCTGCAGTCTGGAGAGCATGGGCTGAGTAACTTCACATGGCTCTTCCCCAGGCACCAAGAGGCATGCAGAAACCTACCCTGTATATTCATAAGCATTGTCAGTAAAAACAGGAATTATCAGCAACATGAAACCATGAAGCTCCATGTGCCTTCTCAAGAAAATTTTCTGGTTTTCAGGGCCACCAACTTTTATCATCTATGCAACAAGCTTCAGTCCCTTACAGCAGTGTAGACCAAATAACAGCACAGCAAATGTGGTGGCTTCATTCTGTTAGTTGGCCTTCAGCTCTCTAATTTATCAGAATAAATAGTTCTGTGATTAGCAGAGTAGCTGAAGGTCAAGGTAATACAAAGAAATCAGAAAACAAAGCAGACAACTTCTGAAATCCAAACATGCAGCTTGGTGTTTGTAGTGAAGTACTAAGTACCATGTGTCGTGTCATTAAATGATAAATGGTTCATATTTATGTGCCTGTGTTTATGGTACTTATACAGTGAATTCTTGTGCCTGTTGTAGTTTTCATTAGTGTGAATTAGCTGTGAATTCTTGCTCTAAGGCAAGTTGTCATCCATACACTGTATTTATTTTTTTTTCCAATAAAGGCTTGTGAACAGAACGGATTGAAAAGCTGTTGTCTTCCTGAAATACTCTGCATGAAGATAAAACTTCCCTCTTGTGTAGCATTTGTTCAGGCTACATGAGAACCTGCTTACACATAGTGCTGAATACCCTGAGGCTGAGTTCTCAGCCCCTTGCACTGGCTTCTGCAGTTGTGCCCACTCATTTTTACAGTTCATCTGGAATTAGTTTCTTGAAACCAGCTGTGCTTCAGTTACACCCACAGGAGGCGACATTTGTAGTCATCTGGATGTATGAACCTATTAGGAAAGCTGGGCTACTTTATTTTCAAAACCACGGATGGTATCAACACTGCCCAACAATAAATTAATGTTTTAGTCTGATTTGCAGGCTTTTTATTTCTGTCTCTGTTCAGAGGATGTAATTCCTGAGAACAAGGTCAGCTGAGAATAGTACAGCATAAAGGAGTTTGATTCCAGAAAACATCCAGGTAGAGCTGGAATAAATCTCTGCCCAGCTGGGACAACACTCAGGCAAATGCATCCTTTGTAGAAAGGGGTAAGAAGGCAGTAGACTGAAAAAATGTGTGAAGAATTCTAAAGCTTGAGGATTGAACTGTTTTAAGGACTTTCTGACTAAAAGAAGTTTGGTGCTGGTGCCCCAAGATGTGACTGAGGGTAGGAGGTTGCTGAGGCTAAAAGCACTTTGGGAGAGAATCAGGTTTAGTGTTGGATCTTTCATTGCATTCCTCTTTAAGGTGACATACTCTACACATAGCTGGTCTTCTGGACTTTTAAACCTGTTTTTGGATGAGCTGCAAGAGCTGCGTAGACCTTTGAAAGAAATAATTGTGCTAGTTGTTTGATAGCATGGCTGTGAACATGTTGAAAAAGTCAGCTGAAGGCTTAGATTTCAGGACAGTGCTGGAGCTTTTTACTGGTCCCTGTCTGGGGTGGAAGAGATCCCCTTTATTCTTTACTAGGAGCACCTGAAATTTTTAAACATGTCCTAGTACAAGATCCTTTGTTTAGATGTCCAGGGTAGCTGACAGGTCGTGTCTGCTGCAAAATTGCTGCCAGTATAGCCAAAGCCATGTTTTCAACTGGTAAAAGCAGCTGTGGACCAGGAAGGCATCAGACCTGAATGAAAGAACTCCTTTAAACATAGTTTTCCTCTTT